AAAAAAAAGAAAAAAAGAAAGGGAAGAATACAAAAAAAAACATGGCGGAGGTCTTCACTCTCTGAGTGCTTTTCTAGTTTATTATTTGTTGTTTTTGAATTTATGTCTAAAGTCTATTTTTTTTAAATCTATTATCTTTTCTTTCTCTCCTTTTGATTTTTTATTTATATGTATAGTTTATTTATTATTATTTCTACTTATTCATTTCTGTTGTATTCCCGTAGAGGAGCGCTTGAGAAAAAGCAGAGCTGAGCTGATCCATGGTGTGAGCAACGTTGAACCAATTTTGGATGAGCTCCTCACCAAGGGAGTTATTCAGCAAGACAGTTATGATAAAATCAGTGCTCTCCCAACCTCGGCGGAGAAGATGAAGGAACTCCACGATGGTCATCTGAAAACTGCTGGAGACAAAGAAATCTTTTCCAGCATCATTGAGAGACTGGAGCCTCATCTTCTCATCGAGGAGACGTTACCGTAAACTCACAGGCTTTTACTTTGGGCTTTCTTTATTTGCAATTGATACTTTGTGTACATAGATTTTTTTCAGATGTGTAGCACTGCCGTCTCTGCCTTGATCAGTGACGCTAATCTCTATACTTAAAATGAGTAAATTAATAAATAAAATGTATGTTTCCTTAAGCCAACTGGAGAAACAGGCTGCAAGGGCCATCAGTAAACATAATCAATTATCCTTTATTATTTCAGACTTGATGCACAGCGTGGGGTTACTGACCCAGAACCAGTCCATGTGAGTAGATCCTCAGCTGTCTAAAGCATCCTTTTTGCCCTCTGCAGCAGGTTGTTTGTGCTTTGCATCTACTTTTATTTTAATTTTGACATGCATGGATTGATGATTACAATCAAGAGTCAACAGTTCAAATATCAATATTTAAATACAATATTAAAACTCTGTTCTGCATTGTCTGTTTTTCACCTCAAATGTTTTCAGGAACATATTTGAATGTACTGTTTAGCTGTAAAATGAGAGAGCTGGTCCGCCTAGTGGGCGGTGCTTGTGACTGCAGTTGACTATTTCTACCATGGTGGTCAGGTCATAAACTTTTTTATTTTACAGCTAAACAGTACACTAAAATATGTTTATGAAAACAGGGGTAACACTTAACAATAAGGTACACAAAATTAGAGTAGTTACTGAGAAACTAATGAGGAACGATTGAGGGACTAATGAGTAACTAATGAGTAGTTACTGAGGAAGTAAGCTACACAAAATTAGAGTAGTTACTGAGGAACGAGTGAGGAATTAATGAGGAAGGAATGAGTAGTTACTGAGGAACTAAGCTACATAAAATTAGAGTAGTTACTGAGGAACTATTGATGAACTAATGAGGAACTAACTATTAGTTAATGGTCAGTTCTTCAGTAAGCCCTGATCAAATTTCAGAGGAGTAGTTAATGAGGAACTAACTATTAGTTAATGGTCAGTTCTTCAGTAAGCCCTGATCAAATTTCAGAGTAGTTACTGAGGAACTAATGAGGAACTAACTGTTAGTTAATGGTCAGTTCTTCATTAACTCATGATCAAATTTCACAGAGGGGTTAATCACAACTTAATGATTAGTGAACTACTTACTTCATCAGTACAGAATCATTACTCAATAACCCGTCCATTAGTTAACCTTTTTATGTCCTAAAGTAAAGTGACACATAATAAGTAGTCTTTCATTACTTCATCATCATCTTTACAATTCGTTCCTTAACAAATAAAATCGCAGACAACAGGATTCTTGAGAAGAGTTTTATTCATTATTTTCAGACCACATACACATTAATATGACCATCCATGTTATTCTGTACGATGATGCCTTAGAAATAAATATGATAGTGTGTCACATTTTAGGTAGGATAAGCTTAAAGAATTTATCATGGGGGCTGCGTGTAAAGTACTGTATACTGATCACACCGTTCTTCACAGTACAGTCGTTTGAGGTGCACAAAATTTAAAGTAGTTACTATGAAACAAATTTGGAATGAATGATGAACTAACTATTAGTTAATGGTCAGTTCTTCAGTAACCTGATCAAATTTCAGAGGAGTAGTTACTGAGGAACTAATGAGGAACTAACTATTACTTAATCATTATCTACCCTTTTTGTGTACCCTAAAGTAAAGTGAGACATCAAAATGAGTAGGTAATGAGTACTGAATCATTATCTACTCATTTTGATGTCTTTAGGGTAGACAAAAAGGGTAGGTAATGATTAGGTAATAATTAGTTCCTCATTCATTCCAAATTTTCGGCCGATTGAGCATGTTGAATCGGCGGTGGAGCTTGTCGGTGAGAGAGATCACTCTGATTGGCTGTTCAGGTTTTATTTCCTTGTCCCTGTAGCGAGTGAATCTGCCTGTAGTGAAACTGGGGCTAACCTGTGCTTCCTCTTCAGGCTCCACTTCACTCAGCTGCCCCACAGACCTGCTGCTTTTTCCCACTTTAACCTGAATAACAAACCGGGGCTAGCTGTGAGGCTAGGGGAGCATTAGCCGCAGCATGACCGGAGGGAAGCACAGCCAGTTAGCCTCTGCTAGACTACCAGCTAGCACCGTTTGTTATTTAGATTAAAGTGGGAAGAAGCAGTTTGTCTGGCAGCTGAGTGAAGTGGAGCCTGCGGAGGGAACACCTGGGCCATCTGGATGTAATAGTCCGTGGAGGTGCTGCGGTGCTCGGCTGCACAGATAGGAAATCCCATGGCTGACAGGATGTATCACTCTGTCACTCCGCTACTTTGTTAATAGGCTCATTCGAGATGAACTGCGCCGCCTCGCCTGGAAAGTAGACGAGAAGGCGGCTACAGCGTTAAAGTTACCTCCTGTAGTTTTAGAGTCATATGTGACACAAAGAGCATATCTGTGATTCAGGGTCTGTCTTCACACAGCTGTGCTAACAACAGCAACAGTGCTGACAGAGCCACCTGTGTTAACATGAGGTTGGGAGGTTACCAGAGTTAAGTTTTTTAAGTTTATACGTTTATTCACTTTATTAATCCCCTGAGGGGAAATTCAATGTTTGAGAGGGTGGGCATTACGCTTTGGCGACTACAGCGTCCCACCAGCTTGGGTCAGGATGGCATTGTCAGTGGTAAATGCTCTATGAGTGTTGTGCAGTGGCAGATTAGCTAGCTAGCAGGATAAACACACAGGGCCCAACATGCATTTAACAGCACTCACAACAGGACCGTCGACCAGAACAAAGTACAGAGAAGCTCGAATAACAGCACACTGAGTGAGCGTGACTTCATTCTTTGCTCAGGACGTCATTACTCTGAAATATCTTTACACAGCAAATAGTTGATTGCATCTACATTAATGCTCTGAATGTCACATACAGAACCTTACAAGACTCTTTTCATCTCACCACAACAAAAGTATCAGCTGTACTACTGTTTCAAATATACTGTGAATCTACAGTAAGTTATTACTTTAACCTGTTTCAGATGTCACACAATGATCCTCTTTTGAGTGTGGGGGCAACCGGAAGTGATCTGTTCCCTGAGCATGACTGGATTAAACTTGAGCCTGAAGTGAACTGTGTGGATGCAGACGATGCTCCAGTTTACAGGTAAAAAAATGTCTTCAAATACTTTGGCACAGCAAACACATTTTCACAGAAGGAAAACTACGATCTTTTTCGGTGTTTTAACATTGATGCCAATACATAATTACAATTATCGTGGTATTGTTACATTTCACAGCAAATTAAAACAAGGCAGATTTTGTTTTTTGTTTACATTAACGATATTTCTGATCTTACAATATTCTAGCCCAAAGGAGACCCAAACTTACAATACTTGTTTTCCCTTTCATGAATTAGCCTGCAGTCTGAAGCAGGTGCCTTTGAATGCAGTGTGTCTGGCTTGCGCTGGGTTTGTAAGGAAAAGGTCAGCTTCAAGTACCAGTTTTGCTCTTGGGAGGGGCACGCAGACAGACTGGAAACCATGTGGTACATCCCTGGAGGTCCCCTACTGGACATTACAGTCATTGCTGGAAAGTTAGATGAAGCACATTTGCCACACTGGATCTGCACAGGTAAGCAACATCATACGATGAAAACAAGATGTGACAACCTCAGTAATGTTTGATGTATGTCTTTCAACACATTTATACATGTGTGTTTTGTGCAGAAGACAACCCTACAGTCGTATAACTTCGTATAATGTATGCTATACGAAGTTATTACGCCTGCTGAAAATTGTTCTTAAAAGAAACCCAACAATATATGAAAACACTTCTTATTTCAGACAACGTGAACACAGTTATGTCGTACCTTCAACATTGTACTGCATGGTCTCCAGTTACCTTCACCATGCATTATAGTATTATTTATTATTTGTTGTTTTTAAATTTATATCTAAAGTCTATTTTTTAAAATCTATTATCTTTTCTTTCTTTCCTTTCAATTTTTTATTTATATGTATAATTTATTATTATTATTATTTCTACTTATTCATTTCTGTTGTATTCCGGTAGAGGAGCACTTGGAAAAAAATAGAGCTGAGCTGATCCATGGTGTGAGCAACGTTGAACCAATTTTGGATGAGCTCCTCACCAAGGGAGTTATTCAACAGGACAGTTATGATAAAATCAGCGCTCTCCCAACCTCGGTGGAGAAGATGAAGGAACTCCACGATGGTCATCTGAAAACTGCTGGAGACAAAGAAATCTTTTTCAGCATCATTGAGAGACTGGAGCCTCATCTTCTCATCGAGGAGACGTTACCGTAAACTCACAGGCTTTTACTTTGGGCTTTCTTTATTTGCAATTGATACTTTGTGTGCAGATTGTTTTCAGATGTGTAGCACTGCCGTCTCTGCCTTGATCAGTGACGCTAATCTCTATACTTAAAATTAGTAAATTAATAAATAAAATGTATGTTTCCTTAAGCCAACTGGAGAAACAGGCTGCAAGGGCCATCAGTAAACATAATCAATTATCCTTTATTATTTCAGACTTGATGCACAGCGTGGGATTATTGACCCAGAACCAGTCCATGTGAGTAGATCCTCAGCTGTCTAAAGCATCCTTTTTGCCCTCTGCAGCAGGTTGTTTGTGCTTTGCATCTACTTTTATTTTAATTTTGACATGCATGGATTGATGATTACAATCAAGAGTCAACAGTTAAAATATCAATATATAAATACAATATTAAGACTCTGTTTCTGCATTGCCTGTTTTTCACCTCAAATGTTTTCAGGAACATATTTGAATGTACTGTTTAGCTGTAAAATGAGAGAGCTGGTCCGCCTAGTGGGCGGTGCTTGTGACTGCAGTTGACTGTTTCCACCATAGTGGTCTGGTCATAAACTTTTTTATTTTACAGCTAAACAGTACACTAGAATATGTTTATGAAAATAGGGAGTAACAGAATCTTGATTCAGATTTGATCAGCGCTGTCAAGTTTGACAGTTTGACTGCAGTTCATGAAGTGATTGACAAAATTGACAGCTACGTTAGAAACTCCGGGTGCCCAGTAGCTCAGTAGGTAGAGCAGGTGTCCCATGTACATAGACAATGTCCCTGCTGCAACTGGTGCAAGTTCAATTGCAGTCCTTTGCTGCATGTCATCCTCCCTCTCCCCTCTTCACAATTATCCTGGCCTGTCCAATACAGACAGACCCCAAAATATCTTTAAAAAAAAAGAGACACTCCTTGGGTCTGATTTGTAGTTTTTGGTGCACTGTAGATTGTAGCAAATGCCACCAGAGGCAATAGGAGGCACCCTGTGGGCCCACCACCGGCAGGGATAGAAATCGGGGTCGGGTGCATTGTGTGCTGGGCGGCAGGCAGGGGCGGGACCCCTGGCGTGCCGATCCTTGGCGTCGTGGACTGGTTTTTGGTACGTAAAATGTCACCTCTCTGGTGGGGAAGGAGCCGGAGCTGGTGCGGGAGGTGGAGCGGTACCGACTAGATATAGCTGGGCTCACCTTCATGCACAGCACTGGTTCTGGAACTAAACTTCTGGAGAGGGGCTGGACTTGTGCTTTTTCCGGAATTGCTCAGGGTGAGAGGCGCCGGGCGGATGTGGGGACACTCACAAGCCCCCGGCTTAGTGCCGCTGTGTTGGGGTTCTCCCCGGAGAACGAGAGGGTCGCCTCGATGTGACTGCAGGTCGCAAAGAGAAGGTCTCTGACTGTGGTTTGTGCTTATGCACTGAACGGCAGTGTGGAGTACCCAGCCTTCTTGGAGTTTCTTGGCGGTGTTCTGCAAGGGGTGCTGGCTGGGGACTCCATAGTTCTCCTGGGGGACTTCAACGCTCACATGGGCAATGATGGAGAAACCTGGAGGAGGGTGATTGGGAGGAATGGCCTGCCTGATCTGAACCCGAGTGGTGCTTTGTTATTGGACTTCTGTGCTAGCCATGGACTGGCCATAACGAACACCATGTTCGAACACGGAGGTTCATAAGTGTACCTGGTACCAGAACACCCTAGGCCTAAGATCATTGATCGACTTTGTGGTCATATCAGCAGATCTGCGGCCGTGTGTCTTGGACACTCAGGTGAAGAGAGGAGCAGAGCTGTCAACTGATCACCACCTGATGGTGAGTTGGATCAGATGGCGGGGGAGAGCTGGTAAACCCAAACGTGTAGTGAGGGTGAACTGGGAACATCTGGCAGAGGACCCTGTCCGTCAGGTCTTCAACTCCCACCTAAGGGAGAATTTCTTGTGCGTCCCGGGGGAGGTTGGGGACATGGAGTCTGAGTGGGCCGTGTTCAAAGCCTCCATTGTGGAGGCGGCTGCTAGGAACTGCGGTCAGAAGCTTGTTGGTGCCTGTCGTGGCGGCAACCTTAGAACCCGCTGGTGGACATCAGCGGTGAGGGAGCCGTCAGGCTGAAGAGGGAGACCTTTCGGTGTCTGGCTGGCCCAGGGGTCTCCTGAAGCAGCAGACAGGTACCGGATGGCCAGAGGGGCTGCAGCTGTGGCGGTCACTGAAGCAAAAACCCGGGTGTGGGAGGAGTTCGGGGAGGCTATGGAGAAGGACTTTTGGTTGGCCTCAAGACAGTTTTGGCACACTGTTAGACGCCTCAGGAAGGGAAGGCAGGGATTGTCTCAGGCTGTGCTCAGCAGAGAAGGAGAACTGCTGACCCCAATTGGGGACATCGTCCAGCGGTGGAAGGAGCACTTTGAGAACCTCCTGAACCCGGCCATCACGTCGACTGAGAACGAGGCAGAGCCTGAAGACTCGGGGGAAATCTTGCCCATATCCCTGGCGGAGGTCGCTGAGGTAATTAAAAAGCTCCCCAGTGGCAAGGCGCCTGGTGTGGATGAAATTCGCCCTGAGATGCTGAAGGCTCTGGGCACTGTTGGGCTGTCTTTGCTGACACGCCTGTTCAGTGTCAGCCAAGTGTACGGTGCCTGCAGAGTGGCAGACTGGGGTGGTGGTCCCCATCTTCAAAAAAGGGGATCAGAGGGTGTGCTCCAACTATCTGGGTATCACACTGCTCAGCCTCCCGGGTAAAGTCTATTCCAGGGTGCTGGAAAGGAGGCTCTGACTGATTATCGAACCTCAGATTCAGGAGGAGCAATGCGGATTCCTTCCTGGCCGTGGAACAGTGGACCAGTTCTTTACCCTTGCAAGGCTGCTGGAGGGGGCATGTTAGTTTGCCCATCCAGTCTACATGTGCTTTGTGTCCCTCGAGGGGTCTTGGGGCGGGTACTGTGGGAGTATGGGGTTCCAGGCTCGCTGCTATGAGCCATTCAGTCCCTGTATGACCAAAGTGAGAGCTGTGTCGGCATTCTCAGCGTGAAGTCAACCACGTTCTCGGTGGGTGTTGGCCTCCGCCAAGGTTGTCCCTTGTCACCAATCCTGTTTGGGATCTTCATGGACAGGATCTCGAGGCGCAGCCGGGGGGAGGAAGGGGTCCGGTTTGGGGACCTCAGAATTGCATCTCTGCTTTTCGCAGATGATGTGGTTCTGTTGGCTCCATCACACCGTGACCTCCAGCATGCACTGGAGCTTTTTGCAGCCGAGTGTGAAGCAGTTGGGATGAGAGTTAGCACCTCCAAGTCTGAGGCCATGGTCCTCTGTCAGAAACCGTTGTTTTGCCCTCTCCGGGTTGGGGGAGAGTTACTGCCTCAAGTGAGGGAGTTAAAGTATCTTGGGGTCTTGTTCACGAATGAGGGTAGAATGGAGCGTGAAATGGATCGGAGGGTCGTTACGGCTTCTGCAGTGATGCGGGTACTGCGCCAGTCTGTCATGGCGAAGAGGGAGCTGAGCCAGAAAGCAAAACTTTCAATTTACTGGTCCATCTATGTCCTAACCCTCACCTATGGTCATGAACTCTGGGTAGTGACTGAAAGAATGAGGTTGCGGATACAAGCGGTGGAAATGAGTTTCCTCCCTGGGGTTGCTGGGCTCAGCCTTAGAGACAGGGTGAGGAGCTCGGACATGCGGAGGGAGCTCGGAGTAGAGCCACTGCTCCTTTGTGTTGAAAGGGGTCAGTTGAGGTGGCTCGGGCATCTGATCAAGATGCCTCCTGGGCACCTCTCGCTGGAGGTGTTCCGGGCACGTCCCACTGGTAGGAGGCCCAGGGGCAGACCCAGAACACACTGGAAGTATTACATATCTCTTCTGGCCTGGGAACGTCTTGGGGTCCCCCAGGAGGAGCTGGAAAGTGTTGCTGGGGAGAGGGATGTCTGGGATGCTTAGCTTGGCCTGCTGCCCCCGTGACCAGGCCCCGGATAAGTGGATGAAAATGGATGGATGGATGGCAATAGGAGGAGGAGGGACATAATCTTTTCACAGACTATCTGTCTCATATAATACTTTGTGTATGTTGTGAGAGTTTCAGCAAATGTGACAACAATCTTTTCATAAAAGTTACCTCCTGTAGTTTTAGAGTCATATGTGACACAGAGCATATCTGTGATTCAGGGTCTGTCTTCACACAGCTTTGCTAACAACAGCAACAGTGCTGACAGAGCCACCTGTGTTAACATGAGGTTGGGAGGGTACCAGAGGGTGGGCATTACGCTTTGGCAACTACAGCGTCCCACCAGCTTGGGTCAGGATGGCATTGTCAGTGGTAAATGCTCTATGAGTGTTGTGCAGTGGCAGATTAGCTAGCTAGCAGGATAAACACACAGGGCCCAACATGCATTAACAACACTCACAGCAGGACCATCGACCACAACCAAGTACAGAGAAGCTCGAATAACAGCACACTGAGTGAGCGTGACTTCATTCTCTGCTCAGGACGTCATTACTCTTTAAAATCTTTTTTCTTTTGATTGCAGCTACATTAATGCTCTGAATGTCACATACAGAACCTTTCAAGACTCTTTTCATCTCACCACAACAAAAGTATCAGCTGTACTACTGTTTCAAATATACTGTGAATCTACAGTAAGTTATTACTTTAACCTGTTTCAGATGTCACACAATGATCCTCTTTTGAGTGTGGGGGCAACCGGAAGTGATCTGTTCCCTGAGCATGACTGGATTAAACTTGAGCCTGAAGTGAACTGTGTGGATGCAGACGATGCTCCATTTTACAGGTAAAAAAATGTCTTCAAATACTTTGGCACAGCAAACACATTTTCACAGAAGGAAAACTACGATCTTTTTCGGTGTTTTAACATTGATGCCAATACATAATTACAATTATCGTGGTATTGTTACATTTCACAGCAAATTAAAACAAGGCAGATTTTGTTTTCTGTTTACATTAACAATATTTCTGATCTTACAATATTCTAGCCCAAAGGAGACCCAAACTTACAATACTTGTTTTCCCTTTCATGAATTAGCCTGCAGTCTGAAGCAGGTGCCTTTGAATGCAGTGTGTCTGGCTTGCGCTGGGTTTGTAAGGAAAAGGTCAGCTTCAAGTACCAGTTTTGCTCTTGGGAGGGGCACGCGGACAGACTGGAAACCAAGCAGTACATCCCTGGAGGTCCCCTACTGGACATTACAGTCATTGCTGGAAAGTTAGATGAAGCACATTTGCCACACTGGATCTGCACAGGTAAGCAACATCATACGATGAAAACAAGATGTAACAACCTCAGTAATGTTTGATGTATGTCTTTAAAAACCTTTATACACATGTGTTTTGTGCAGAAGACAACCCTACAGTTTTAGACAAGTTTGCAGTCCTCCACATAGATACATGTGGAGACATTGTGGAACAAGTGTCTGAGGTCACATCATCCCATGTCAAGTTGTCTCAGCCAGCTTTCTCTCCAAGAGGAATCCTGATGAGAGCCGGCTTCTCCGTGAGAATTCACTGTAAAGTGTTAATATACAAGACCACCAAAACATCCCTCACACTGCATGTCTATGTGATCCCTTGTGATCCGGCTCTAGAAGAGGTGATTACATATCTTACTGGCACCATGTTGATTCACACTTCAAAACACAGTCAGCAATGTTGGCTGCTGTAACCTTGAAGCATCTTTGTGCTGATGATGTCTTTTTTTCCTCCCACAGAAAATACAGAACAAGGAATTATCCAGTGGATGCAGAGTGATCCAAAAGCCTTACCCAGTAAAATCCCTGAAAATGCGCGACTATTTCATCCTCACAGCTGATATGGACACTGCAGAAATTTACCCCAAGGTAAAGTTTGGACTGTATTTACTTATTGATTTAATTGTTATAAAATAAATAATAAAATGGACTAATATGAAGCTAAAGCCAGGAGATGGTTAGCTTAGCATAGCATAAAGACTGAAAACAGGAGGAAACAGCTAGCCTGGCTCTGTCCAAAGGTTACAGAATCTGCTGACCAGCACCTTCTAAAGCTAACTAACAGTCTGTATTATCTCTCGTAAAATGACAACTTGTTAAATACACTGCGTTTTATTTAAGGATGAAACTCATGGACAAACATAAGGATTAACACGGTCATGCTAGCTGCTTCCCCTTGCTTTCAGTGTTTAAGCTAAGCTAACTGTGTTCTGATTTACCAGCCAGATCAAGCACGTTTTCCAAAATGTCAACATTTTCTAAAAGATAATGTTAATCCCGGCTCTTAGGCTGGAACAATGATGGGAAATGAGACGAGTGAACAAATACTTATAAGAGCTCATTTATTTACAAAATAACAATAAGTAACCGAACGGTGAAAACGAAGAGGGAGGCTCTGTTGGTAGGTGGTGAGCTTCTATATCATGGCCAGGCCCTGATGTGGCTCATGAGGTTAATGACGACCCTCTTCTTTGACCCGCATCCTGAAACAGAAAAACAGCCAGGAATACAGGCACACTGAGCAGAGCAGAGGCGTCATCATGTCCTGTCATTGCATTGTTTTGGTAAAATACAGCTCCTGTGGCTTGCCACCTGAAGATATCAGCACATTTTTCTTCAGGCGTGTAACTTCTCACATTTTAAAAATTGACCTCAGCACAAAGTCTAACTCTGCTCCTTCCCCCTTTTATATATTTCTGTCACAGAAATTAAAGCTCATATATGAATGGTGTGACCCAAACTTCTTCGAAGTGTTCATTGTCGATCCTGACAGTAATTTCGAGCTCGGACTCAGACACGAAACAAGTGGACAAGTGTGGACCTGTGCAATGCGAAAAGGTCAGTGGTGATGAAATGATATTCTGTGATGTGTGTATTTACGGCACCTGTATATCATTCTTGTTTAGCTAAAATGGCTTAAATTAAGTGTCTTGTCTAGTGAATGTAGAACATAAAATTTACATATTGTTTATCTGGATTTTATTTCAGATGACTATCAAAACACTGGTGATGTTCAGGTGATATATGGTAAGACATAATATGTGATGAATACTCAGTAGAAATACACATGTATGAAATATAAGGAAGGCAACGAGCACTAGCCAGTCAGAAAAAGAGTAGGGTGGGTCATGCCTTTGTCATTCTTGGAAAAAAAATTGGCGTCCCAAATTAGGGCTGCAACTAACGATTATTTTCATTGTCGACTAATCTACTGATTATTTCTTCAATTAGTCGACTAATCATTTTATCAAAAAATGTGTTAAAATGTTGAAAAATGTCGGTCTGTCTCTCCCAAACCCCCAAATTATTGTCATTTAATGTCTTGTTTTGTACTCACGCCAAAGGGTTTTAGTTCAACATCATGGGAGAGTGTGTAAAGCTGCCAATAGTTGAACGTAAGAAGCTGCAACAAAAGTATTTTGGAGTACTTTTATAGTACTTTTCTATGAAAAATGACTCAAACGGATTAGTCGACTACTAAAATAGTTGCCGATTATTTTAATAGTCGATTAGTCATCAATTAGTCGACTAATCATTGCAGCCCTTTCCCAAATAGCATTTTTTGGGCTTTGGTAGTAATCAACAATGAATATTTGAAAATTGGGCTGGGGTGGAGGTGGGTGGTCATAATAACAGGCTCCAAATTTGAGATGATGTCTGACAAAGGGCTGTAAAACACAAGTGCAGAAACAGTACACTAGCTCCACAAATGTAGGATTTGAGATCATAAGATTTAGCCTGTCTGTTACGCAGGTTAGACGCAGGGCTGAAGGAACATCTCCAGAGCTGTTCTCCTGGCAAATGTTCAGTGCGTCTGCCCCTTAGCACAAGCTACCACAGCAGCAGCGGCTAACATCCAATACCGAGCTGTTAAACAGTTCCAACAAACTCACACCGACACTGAAATGGCTCATCTCTGTCGTTAAAGCTGTCAATAATCGTTAACACTAGGGCCCGCACACATCCTGTGTTTCTTTGCCCCCTTGAATATAATGTCAATGGAGACACGTGGAAGGTGCACTCAAAAGGGAGAGTGATGCTGTCGCAGCACACAGGCATTCTCAAGCGTCTGTTTTTCAGGGCGTAACGGCTGCACCCTAAGATAAAAAACGTTCCACCTTTGGAACCAGCAACACACACCCCGTGATGTGATGAGGAACAACCAATCACAGCCGTTAGATAGTATCCCTTTCTTCCCTAAATATGAGTCTATGACTCATATGGAGAAGCAGTTGCTATTTTAAATTTATTTTTTATCAAGGCTACCCATATAACGGAAACAACATTTTAGGCCTCAGAGACACTTAAAAAACAATGCCTGCCGATCGACATCGTGTTTTCCAGGTGGTTAAAAACACTGCATGTACCCAAGCCCTTAGCCATGTGATGCTAACAGTTAGCCCAACTGTCTCCGGTGCAGAGCTCTTGTCATAAAGACAGAGAGGGAGCAGGGCAAGGAGGAGCTGGGTGAATTAATATGCTGTGTGTAGCTCTGCAATGAAACAACCCATTTACCCATTTGAAATAGTAAACAAACAGAAAATAGAAAATAGTGGCAGTCAATATTGATAAAGTAGTGGACCATCACAAATAAATCAATGTATGGGAAACCCTGTGATTTATTTTTATTTATAATTTTCTTTTTGTTGTTCCTCAAAAAAAAGGGGAAAAAAACACCCAAAATTGGAAACTGAATACCCACCAGATAAGTGACAATCTGAACAATCCAGTATTTAGGTCCAACCCTGTTATTTTTTTTCTTTTCCCACTTTTTTCCTCTAGACAAGGAGCTTGCCAGACTGAGGCCTAGACTTGTGAACAGGGTGTCCACAGAGCTTATCAACCAGCTGCTGGATGATCTGTTGGAGGATGGTGTCTTGAATGATGGGGAGAAAGACTCGATACTTCAGGACAACAGTACCAGTGCAAACAGGGCACGCCGCCTCATCGACATGATACGGATGAAAGGACGCAAAGCCAGCAGGAAGTTGTTAACTCACCTTCAAAGCAGAGACCCTATGCTTTGTGCTGATCTGGGGCTGCCCTCTGGCCTACCTGTGTAGTCAGGTAAGGTCTGTCTCAGCAGGGCTGGCCAACGTTCATGAGTGAGGGAGGCCTTGATCTTATTCATATGTCAGTTTAGTGCACAGTGAAATATTATTTTGAACAATTATCTGATGGCATTGATTTATATTTTGGTTTTCCTGCAGAGACTGAAGGAGAGAAACCCAAACTCAACCCTGCTGCTGATAGAAAGAAATGAAGAATGAAGACACTCCTAATTCATTCTGCACTAAAAGTCATATCAGGTGACAGACATGATCAATGGTTGAGCTGTTAATATGTTAAATCAACTCTTAAGAACTTGATCAGTGCTGCACTGATGAGTATTTTTGTATTAAGTGTACAGTGTGTAGGATTTAGGGGGATATATTGGCAGAAATGGAATCTAATTCATAGAGTATAATCACCTGAAACTAGGTTGTGTTTTCATTGCCTGAATGAGCCATTTATATCTACATACAGAGTAGGTCCTCTTCCACAGAGTCGTCCATGTTGTTCTCCAGTCGCCCAGAACAGAGAAACCAAACACCTGCTCTCATCAGGGCCATTGTGTGTTTGCGTTGGCCACTGTAGTTCTCCTACACACAACTAAGTGGTGAACACAGTGGAGCATTAAGCAGCTTAAGAGCTTGATATTAGGAGAAGGTTAAGACTAAAACATATTTAAAAAGAGAGTATAATACTAACGCTGGATTTATTTCTTGTGTGGACTGAAACTGTGTCTGCTGATAATGTGTAAATGTAGATGATAAACAAAATTATATCATTCACATGAACAAAAAGGGAGGGCACCATTTTTTTGGTTGTTGTTATTTATTAATTAAGGTCAATTTTGGATATTTACTGATGGGTCATTAAGTTTTGTCTTTACTACGTGTGGAAAAATGTCTGTGAATGAAAAGATAATTCATGTTGTTTCTGGTATTTGTATGAATCTTACCTGCAAGGTGAAGGAAAATAAAGTGGCTGCTACTCTGTGCTTAAACTCTTCTATCCTTGTGTCAACATGCTGACTGTGTTGTTGTCTCTCACTGATACAGCCCAGAGTAAGCAGATAAAAAGAAGCAGAATGGTGAAAGTTGTCATATTGAGGTGTGTTAACATTCCACCTTAAACATTGCCGGTACTACTGGTAGCCTCTGAGCTGCACAGTGAATTGTATTATTTTTTCTCAGTCTGAAGCTAACTGTTAACTAGTTAAGATGAAAAGGCAGCAAAACATATTTTAACTTTTTTGAACTGCTTAACAGGTCAAAGTTTATGAGGATACAATGTTAGTTAACTTTCATTCTTGTCCCACCACGTTTCCCCCTGATGCCACCAAACGCCATTAAACTATAACAGCAACCAGCCATGTTTTGTGCCGATGTTAACTGTTAACTTGCAGCACTTGTCTTTGCTGGACACATTTTCCCCACAAATAAGACATGCTAATGTTTTTAGCACAAGCTTATGGCATTCTACATTGTGCAAATTAGCCTAGTGGCTAGCAGACCTTCCCTCTACTCATATGAAGCCAGGGACAACAGCAACATTTAACAGAGGTAATGTTACAAAGTTTGGTTCCATTACAGCTCACAAGGTTCACCGACAAAACAACTGTCTTACACTAAACACGTTTTACAAACACATATAATAAAGTTATTAGCACAAGCCTATGGCATTTAACATTGTATAAATTAGCCTAGCAACAAGTGGAGATTTTCTCTACTGATATGAAGCCAGGATAAATCACACACAAGATTTAAAATGCTTTTTTGTGGAGGCTTTATTGTCTTCACAATTTGTTTCTTGTCAGTGAAAGTAAGGTAAATAAAAGCTTTGTTTCCACTGAAGGAAATGGTTTAGCTTACAAAAATAGACAGAAGGTCTGCATTCTGGGGAGGTGTATGTCAGGCGATGGCTTAGGGTACGGCATAGGATCTACCTAGACACAGAAGTACAAATTCTGCCTCGAGGCCAGTGGTGTCTAAACGTTTTGAATGGGGGCCATAAAAGGTCATGTGAAAATGCGTGGGGCCAGCTGCTTCTTGCATCATATAGGTTATTTTAAGAAAATCACAAACAAACCTGAACTCAAGCTTTATTTAAAGAGCCTTCGCTCTCTGCTGAACAGCCTCATCCTGCATTAGAAAAGTCGCAGTTTAAACAACCAAGAAGCTTGCTTAAAGTACTGCAAAAGTAGTGTGATAAGTAACACATTACTCTACACAGAAAGTAATGTTGTGAAGTAACTTATTTGTTTCAACTAGTAATAGGCTATGTCATACATTACATTTTGAAAGTATCTTGCCCAACACTAATGCAGCTCCAATTCTAAGATTCACCATGGCAACAGGTGAATAAAAAGCAGGCCCACCATTTTAATATAGTAGATGTAGAGATATTAATACACATTATATAAAGATTATTTTAATTTAGTGGCTTTATTTCAGTTACTTCAACACGTGTTGTAAATATAAACAGTCAGTGAAATATTTTTTAAAACACATTCTGATTATATACAGTCTATTTAAACTCACCTCAATTCTGCAGCTGCACCACAATCCTGCACACTCAGAAATATTAACAAATAATCCCAAACATTTAAAGAATTATGTTCCTTCATTGTGACTCCTCACAACATGATTGGCACAGATAATTCATCCTACGTGTCAAAAGCTTTATGCCTTTTTTTTTATTTAAACTGAGATTACACATTACAGCACATTTCAGCAACAATGAAATTCAAAGTGCTCATCATAAAACATCAAAAGCATCTAGACAAGGTGCAAAAGAAACACATTATAAAAGGCCATTTAAGAGCAATCCATCACAGTACTACAGAATGGAAAATAAAAAAGTTAAAATACACTAATATAGGCAAATAAGATACAAAAATAAAAGTTAAATCAATAAAAGTACTTGAATAATAAACATCACAGTGGAGTATATGAAATGAATAAATATTTAATTTTAATAAAAGGCAGCAGCACGCAATAACCACAACGCAACGTTTCTAACACACTGACAGCTGTCTCTTGTGCCGAGTCACAGTGAGTTTATTTAAGCTATTTCACTGAAAACTGCAGGAAGGTGGAAACTCTGTTTATGTCAACTTAGGTCTTTCATATTATTTTATCCATTGTTAACGGACTAGTGTGTAGAATTTTATCAGCATCTAGTGGTAAAGTTGCACATTGCAACCTACTGAACTTTTCCTGTGTGCAAATGCAAAAATGTGATTGGCTCCGTCTAGAGCCAGTGTATGGTTTTTCTGTTCTGGGCAACAGTAGAACAACATGGCGGACTCCATGACAGTGGACCTGCTACGTATGTAGATATAAACGGCTCATTCATGGAAATGAAAACACAACTTTTCTTAGTTTCAGGTGATTTTACAGGAATAAAAACATAGTTAGGAATATCATATTCCATTTATGCCAATATATCCCCCTAAATCCTACACACTGGACCTTTAATACAAAAATACTGATTAGTGCAACACTCATTAAGTGCTTAGAGTTTATTTAACATATTTAAAATAAAACAATTAATTATGTGTGCCACCTGATATGACTTTTAGTGCTTAATTATTAGGAGTATAGGAGCCATCCCTGGTGTCAAATGTATGTAAGATGCTATTTTGTCTTGTTGGGGTCACTGTACTGCCATGGGTATCTGTCAATATAGGCAGGAAGCATTCATTCAGGGACAGGTGTTGCTTGACGGAGGAGCACATATGGTTTTTTGACAACAACGAAAGGCCATGTGGAGCCAGGTGTACACTGCTGAACGTGATGGTAAAATGTATTTTCCTTTGAATGGTTTATATACACAGATTTATGGATGCTACAGTGGTGAGGAATAAATATTGCATCAAAGACAAGATAAACAGCTGTCGGTTATGTCAGGTGAGTGGTTAGTCAGTAGCCTGTCTTGTGGCCCCTCTGTGGCTTTAAGTGTAGGTTTAGCTGCTACAAGGAGTGTCTTCATTCTTCATTTAGTTTTCCTCAATGTATCACCAGCAGGGTTGAGTTTGGATTTCTCTCCTTCTCTCTTTGAACACTGCAGGAAAACCGAAATACATATCACTGCTACCAGATAACCAGTGTGGTGTGTAACGCGTTACTTTGTAACACACAGTAACGTAACTACTTTTATTGGGTAAAAAGTAGTGTAACGCGTTACTACTGAAAATATGGTAACGGAACGTAGTTACTTTGTCAGTTGGGCACAACTTTACTTTTCCCGGGGACAGATTTGACGGTGACACTGCCTGTCTGCCTCAGCTGCGCACTAGGCAGGAACTGTGTCAGTTGCCATGTCAACAGTACAGACAGTAGTGCCAAAATCAAGAATTGTATGAGGAATATGGAAGATACATACGTCTCCTTGGATTATTTTAACGGTTTGTCAACCGAAGACAGGTTAGCTTTTTGTAATAAGCTAACAATTAGCAACGGAGTGAGGTTTCCTGACCCGTACTTAATGTCGGGTCAGTGGGTCACCGACGCTACGAAAGAAATGGCCTAAGCTACAGTGGCCGGACATTTTTTTATATCTTGTGGAGAAACCCGGCGTTTATACGCATGAAAAACTCATGGCATATAAATCCCTTGATGTGTATAATTTTGTACTTTGCGGTCATGTCCAAGATATTGAATACCGGGAAGATTTATTTATCTGATGGTTTTTGTGCTCTACGGACCGAAGTACTGCCGAGCCAACGACAAGGACACAAAACAGTAACGTTAACTAATGTACAAGACCTGGGCGATTCTGAACAAGTCGACCAACTATATACTGACAGCGAACTGCACTTGTATGGCTGGGTAAGTGTTGTTTAATGTAACGTTAACCTCGCTAGTCAGACCTCAGACATGGGCAACATATGACCCCGGAACCTCAAAGGAAATCAAAACGACCCCCAAAACATCAGTAAAATGCAGCATTGTGTTAACAGAAAACAGAACAATCATAACCTGCCTACCTTCCTGGCGCTGTGTGAACGGCAGCCTGTTGCAGCAGCTCCTATTTTGTGTATTTTAAATTGCTGCTGTGACATTAAAATTTCCCCCCGAGGGGTTAATAAAATACCTACCGTACCATACCAGAAGAGAAAATGAATTAATTTATTTGTGCAGGTCTGTAGCTTACTGCTGTATGAGTCTGTTACACAGACATAGTCTCACAGTTACACATGTAATAACAGAACAGAAAATGATTTATTCATGAATATGACACTATTTGTTCAAAGATAGTGTCTGTGAATATTAATATTTTCCTCATTCAGTGATGCAGCAGGTCTGGCAAATAGGCTATTAGTAGTAGTAATCTGTCATGTAACAAATTCATGTAGCCTAGTTAACACAAATTAACTCTCACTCTTTAATCTTTATTTTATCACCAAAGTGGTAAATACCAGTGGTAAACTCGGATTTTTTCACATTTAGGAAATGAGATGGGGTTCTACCCAAAGTCAAGTACCATAAAAGTAACGTAAAAGTAACGAGTAATGTAAAAAGTTTTCACAGAGGGTAACTAAGTAAGGGATTACTTTTTTTAAGAAGTAACGAGTAACGAGCAAACACTACTTTTTAAAAGTAACTTCCCCAACACTGCAGATAACTGTTCAAACTTCAAACATTTGATATCAGTAACATTATAAAGGTCACTGAAGCTCAGGCACTGTGCAGTCACTGACAGGCTGACATATAGATCAAGGCCTCCCTCACTCATGAACGTTGGCCAGCCCTGCTGAGACAGACCTTACCTGACTACACAGGTAGTCTACGACGTGCTACGACGTGCCCTGTTTGCA